ATATATATATATATATCATATCTACACAGTCAACGTAATATATATATATATATATATATCTTAGTACTATCATCACAAACAATTACAACAATGGCATGTACAGCTGCCATATGATGTACTGGCATGAACATCAGTAGGCTTGTGTATTGGGCTTACGGTTTACATATTGTACAAATCTCAGATATGCGGTTACAATAGGTAGAGTTAAAAGTGTATAATGTATAATATATATACATAAAGCATGCTAGCTTCAATTACAATTTTAGGTTTTATATAACAACTTAAGCATTATATGGCGGCCGGCAGGATTATATCTTGCCATGCCCATATTGTACGAGGGGAAATTGGAGACAATGTCACCATATCTCGAATTGGCTTGCATGCACTTAAACGTCAGATTGTTAGTATGTAAATATTACATTTACTATTTAATATAAGCATATATATATATATATATTTAAGGTATGTGGGATATAGAATTATTAGTTCACCAGATTATACTATAATTATATCTTGTGTTACATATCTTATCTTAGAGCATACTACAACTGTAATATTGCATTTCCTGGCTTACAGCTTACGTTGTATCTCATTATTGGCTTTGGGTTTGAGGCTTTGTGGCTATAGGTGATTCAGTGCCCTGACGGCAATCCCAAATGTCCGAGAACTCTAGGGCTAGATTGCTCACCTGAACCATGCAAGTAAATTTGACAAGCACTGGTTTTATGAGGTGCACTTATAAGACCCACGATTCAAATGATGCTTATGCTAGCTGTCCTGATGACTGGCGCCAAACCGTAGGCTGAGCACTGCATTGTAAGCGTCACGAATGGCCATCCATTGGTTGAGAGCATCTTCGCCATCCGGTTTCTTCCTCCGTGCAAAACTCTTGTCCTCATCCGAGTGCCTCACCCTCTTCGGCTTGGGAATCTCCTGGGCATCCTGGGCTGCCTTTCGCTTCGGATCGCTTTTGGCCGATGGGCTCGTCTTCCCTTTTTTGGGGCTTGTCTTGTCTGGCTTTGATGGGCTTGACTTGGGTGGCTTTGATGGGCTTGTCTTCGGCGGCTTTGTTGGGCTTGTCTTCGGTGGCTTTGCTGGGCTTGACTTGGATGGCTTTGCTGCGGCCTTTGCTTCCTTCTCCTTCTCGCTCTTGGGCTTCCTACCACGCTTTGGGGCCTCGGTTTTCGGGGGGGTTTCTAGAGCGGTTTCCTCCTCTCCTTTTTTCTTTTCATCATTTTTTTCCTTTTCATGCTTTTTCCCCTTGGGGCTGGGGGTTTCTGCCGCACAAGCACGGCCGCGACCGCGCCCACGCCCACCTCGGCCTCCACGACCACGTCCCCCACGGCCGCCTCGGCCAGGCTTGGCCTTTCCAGCCTCCTCTCCATCTTCAGGCTCAGGACCCTGAACAGCACGGGCTTGCTGTAGCCGGCATGGTTTGCCCTGCCCAAGAAGAGTGTTATAGACAAGCATGCGTGCATACATGTACAAGAGAATCGATCAGCATGCACAGCACATGTATATAGCCTCAAACTTCATAACATCAAACTCCTCATCTGGGACAGGATCTCCTGCCACCTCGGCGGCATCGGCGGCCGGCTCGGCAGCATTGTCTGCAAGGGGCTCGGCGGCATTGTCTGCAAGGGGCTCGGCGGCATTATCTGCAACGGGCGAGGCATTGTCTGCCGGCTTGTGCACGGTCTCCTCTGCTGGCTCCTGCTTTAGGGTTTAGGGTTAGGGTTT